CTCCCGCTCGGACGCCATGCAGTCCCGTTCACGACGATCCACGATCCATACTCCCTGCCCCCCTCTTTCCTCCACGACGTACCCCCCCCCCCTCCCTATCCGGTTCCGATCTGCTCCAATCCCAAGGGCAGATTGAACGGAGACACGGGGACACTATCGAGTCGGGAGCGGCCGTACCGATGCCAGGCAGGGGGACCAAACAGCCATCAAGAGCTGAGAACTAAGAACACCGGAAAAGGGGTTATTGAGTCAAATTTTGTACCAGCGCGTTTAGGTATACTTCTTAAGTTGTATCAATGCAACTTTCTTGATCTATTAATTTAAACTTTCGGGAAGTGTCGAACTCCTTAGGTTTCTCTTTGCTAGTAGAGAAATAGGCGGTAAAATTGTTATGTTCTGCATACATACATACCCACCCCTTCATCAGTTACCCCCACCATACTCCCGTCCGACCAGAGGTCGTCTGCGTTGCAGGCGGTGCTGTATATCCGTTTTGAGACGGACATCCTGTGTTTAAAATTCATGCATCTCGCCGATCAGCGCGGCGCGGCATGGCGTGGCGCCGCGGAGCACGCTGCATGGCGCTGCAAGGCAAGGACGGGGCCTGGCGAAGCGGCTCACGTTAGGCGCGGCGCTCCAGACCAGAGCCAAAGACATGCAGCGGAGGAAGCGCTCCAGGCCAGGGCGCCTCGACAACCTAATCTCAGGAAGGCAGCAAGGTCGTGCGAAACGGTTCAGCCTCTCTCCTCCTCCGAGCTCCTCTCCCCCACCCCGGTCGGAGTGCAGCCCCGCTGTCACCATGACTCTGTCCGTCTGCCGCTCTACCTCTTTCTCTCAGGAGCACGTCTGGCGCGCGGCGCGGCGCATCCACGAGGAGGGCGGGATTACCCCCCGTGGGACTCGGGGAGGTATGCATGCTTGGGCGGGCGATTTTGGTGCACACGGACACTATGATTGACATTCCGTAAGTAAACCCCTTCCATGACATTATTGCTCGACGTATCGCCATTTTAAACTCCGTGTTAGCAGCCTTGATGCGTCCCGCTGTGCTGAATACCACAAGAAAAATACTCCGTTAAAAAATAGTTCTCTCCGGACGCGGGCGTTCAGTTTAAATTGGCCACGGGTCATCATAAGCCAGTCATAAATATCGCCGCTGAATTTTTGATGGCGTTCAACTTATCATCCCGCGGCGGGCCGCGCCGGCGGATCTGATCGGGACGTGAAAGGCTGAACGCAGCAGGTG